CCTGTGTGCCTGCATTAAACTCCTAATATCATGGTTCCTATTCACACTCTTGCATTCAGAGGCTCAGATCAAGGGAGAGTAGAACACATTTAATCCTCACATTCTCAGGACTGGAACGAACTGCACCCAAAACAGAAAGCATGAGAATGGGGTTGAAAGCACCAATCTCCACCCAAGGGGCACGGAGGCCCTCCAACGATGGTGGAGAGGGACTTGGGAATGGTGAGGGTGAGAAGAGGGGCTTTGAAAGCAAAAGCCAGAGGCAGAGGCTGCCCAGCTCTCCAGAATATAAAGCTGCCATGATGCAGCTCTCTTGGGGAAGTCCCCACCTGGTGCTGCCAGAGCTCGGCCGCATGCATCTGTGATACAGCTTTCTAACCCCAAACTTACTTCTCAGGGCTGGGACAGGCAGATCATCCACTGCCATGTAATTTCTACAAACACCAACATTTATGATCACACAGCAGTTCGGCTCATGGTGGTGTGGGATGAAGGTTGATGTTTCTAAGCTCACGCTCTGGTCCAGGAGTCAGTGAGCCCCTAGAGTAAGACTCAGCCCAAAGCTGGCACTTAGTAAATGTTGATGGGGAGACAAATGACATAGGTAGTAGAAGGAATGAAGGACAAAGAGTAGACATGGATGAAAGGATGAATAACAATGATTTATGAAAGACATTGTAGAATGAAAGACATCCTAGCAAGCCACAACAACCTTTGGAACTGGAACAGTGAATGGTCTGTGACAGTAAGTACAGGTGAAGCTGACCCTCCTCTTGAATGCCGAGAAAGGTCTTTTCCCATAGCTAAGTCCATCCTCTTCCTCCAAATCCACTCAAGTGGTACTGTAAGAATAGAGGTCTAGGCTGGCTCAGTGGCTCAGTCTATAATTTCATCATTTTGAGAGGCCAAGGCAAGAGGATTGCCTGAGCCTGTGGGTTCAAGACCAGCTAGACAACTTGGTGAGACCTACAAAAAAAATTTTTTTTTAATTAACCAGGTGTGGTAGCACACACCTGTAGCTCCAGCTACTTAGAAGGCTAAGGCAGAAGAATTGTCAGAGCCTAAAAGGTTGATGCTGGGATGGCCGTAAGTGTGTCACTGCACTCCAGCCTGGGTGACAGAGTGAGACTCCAACTCAAAAAAAAAAAAAAAAAAGAGGTCTGGACTACCTGTCATCTCAGAGATTTGTCCATATGAACCAAAGTCACTGCACGCTCCCAGTAGCCTAGAAGTGCTCACACAAGTCTTGCCCTGGAACCTGGGTAGGTCCATCAGCAAATTCTACTTTTTTTGAACTTCTGATAAACTAAAGATGAGTAAATGTTCTTTCTGAAGATAAAGGCAATTGTCTTAAAATACTACAGATTTTCAAGATCTGAGGTTGGAGATATTTTAGAAGCTGTCTAACCCATCTCCCAACAATTGTCTTTAAGTTTTCATGCCAGGCTGGGTGTAGAGGTTCAAGCCTGTAATCCCAGCACTTTGGGAGGCTGAGGTGAGAGGACTAACTGAGCCCATGGGTTTGAGAACAGCCTGGGCAACTTGGAGAGACCTCATCTCTATAATAAATATAAAAAATTAGCCAGATGTGGTAGTGTGCACCTGTAGTTCTGGTTACTTGGAAGGCTGAGGCGGAAGGATTACCTGAGCCCAACAGGTCGAAGCTGGGGTGGCCGTGAGGGTGCCACTGCACTCCAGCCTGGGTGATGGAGTGAGACTCCAATTCAAAAGAACAAAAACAAAAACAAATAAACAAAAAAGATTCCATGCCATCAGCTCCTGAGATTCAAGAAAAATTTCATTATGCTGTGCAGTCCACTTAAAAATGCCCTAGCCAGACATTGGGTTTAAAAAATGACATCTAAAAGCCATGGGTCTTACTTCTGAGTGCCATATAAATGCCACAGTACGCTGCAAAGATAGGGATGTGTGTTTTGGGCACCTCATTCTGGTGAATGAAGAAGGACTGGTTCTAAAGTAGAATCTTTCAGAAATTCCTATTCACTGTCCTGAAGGACCTTAAAAAAAGCACTACTGAATATTCCCAGTTTTACAATCATGCTCCAAGGCATGTCCAATTTTGTGTGTGAAGCATTAAGATGGGAATGCTAAAATCAGCAGAAAAGAGAAAAAAAAGATCTCCTTTATCCATTCCCATTCCTAGCTTCAGTGTCAAGCTCATTTCTTCTAAATATTAGAGTGGTGTGTTGAGACAGAAATATTTACCACAACCCAAAAAGCCAGGGCATGATTCTTTAACATTTTGGGAGAGAAAAAAAATATCACAACAAAAGGATACTCCATAAATGGGCTTCTCTCTAGGGTTATAAAGTGTAACCAGCCCAAGACACTCCATAAACAGACTTTTCTCTCATAGTGTTCCCAGTCACGGGATACTCCACACATAGGCTTTTTTTCCTCACGGTTAGTGTTCCCAGTCACAGGATACTCCATAAATGGGATTTTTCTCTCATAGTGTTCCCAGTCATGGAAAGTTCTGCAAATGGGTTTTTTTTCTTGTAGTGTAAGCAGTCACAGGATACTCCACAAATGGGCTTTTTTTCTCCTAGTGTTTCCAATCTGGTATACTTTGTAAATGGGCTTCTTTGTGCACAGTATTCCCAGTTACAGATGCGTGACCCTGGCTTCGCCCAGTTGTCCGGATGAGCCAGTGACCAGGCCACACGCTCCACCCATGGGCAATCACTACCAGCAGCCTGCATCACTTGGAGTGGACAGAAATGTGCTTTACCTTCACCTGAAGTTCCCAATGTTTCCTAGTGTTTCCCAGCTGGCCCAGCCTGTTGACCCCAGGATCCTTTATGAGGAGAATCCCACTGAAAGCAACACCAGCAATTGCCTGTTCCATAACCACATTCTGTTTTCACTTGTTTTCCTCATTGCTCAGATAGCATGCCAGCAGGGTCAATGCCAGTGTTGGAAAGTAAAGAAAAGCAGAAATAGACAAGAAAAATGGATCGCCCCGAGTTCCTCTTCCCCAAAACCAGCCCTGCTCACACATGGGCATGTTTCTCTCTGAATAGTCTGCAGGTGCTCTGTGGTCACTGGGGGCTGCTCCACACGGCTACTGCCTCGCTTGTCCTCCCCTTCTGTTGTACCATGGGCATTTTGTCTTGAAAATGGCATTTGATTTAAGGTTTAAGTAGAGAATTCAGAAAACGGGCCTATGAAAAAAAGACACCCTGAGGGGGGCAGGAACAGGATTAGAGAAAGCCCTGGATGCTGACCTACCAGTGAGGAAGGTGAAAGTAGTCTCATGCATCTAATGGCAACTCAGAGTAACAGACATTAACTTCATAAAATAACCTTTCATATTACAGAAGTTTTAAGTGCTTCCATAAAGACATGCTTGCAGCAGGGGTCTATTAATCAAGTCTTTTATTTTAAGCCTTAATAAGCACTATCCTTAAGTATTAGTGTCCACATATCCTCTCTTATATTAAATCGTTTGCATGTAGGAATCTTAATGCTTACGCAGAGCTCAGCAACTCAGAAAAAATTTCAAAGAGCCCATTTTTTTCTACATTAAAGAAAAATAAATTATAGAACTATAGTAGTTAACTTGAGTCAGCTAGTAAATCATTCTATTCCACAAAAATGCACTATCTACTATGTTCCCAATAATGTCAGTGACAAATATAATAACCTCCTTCAACGAAAATAAAATGAGATAAGATGTTTTTGTGAGCCAAGTACTATATACAAGCATTTTAGTTTATAAATAAATATAACATTGCATTAACTGGGTAACGGCTGCATTTCCTGCAACCAATGTCTGATTTCTAGTAAGTTGACCTCTACAGCTGTGTGTGACAGACCATCTCAACACTCTCTGAAGACCAAGATCAAGGGGCAAAAACAAGAGTGAAGTACTGCCAGGTGCAGTGGTTCGAGCCTATAATCCCAGCACTTTGGGAGGTCGAGGTGAGAGGATTGCCTGAGCTCAGGGGTTCAAGACCAGTCTGGGGAACTTGGCGAGACCTAGTCTCTACAATAAAAAATATAATAATAAAAAAATTAGCTGGATGTGGTAGTGCATGCCTGTAGTTCCAGCTACTTGGAAGGCTGAGACAAAGGATCACCTGAGCCCAGCAGGTCAAGGTTGCAGTGGCCAAAAGCATGCCACTGTACTCCAACCTGGGTGACAGCATGAGACTCTGACACAAAAAAAAAAAAAGAAAAGAGAAAGAGTGAAATACTTAAAGGCAAATAAAATTCTAAAACCAAACAAAATCTTGAATTATTTCCAAAATTAATATAAGTAAATATTAATTACAAGTGTAGGAACAAGGACATATAAAAGTGTGTAAAGTATTAAAATAACTACACATAATTTATATGCCATACACACTTATATTTGTGTATGCATACATTTGTGTGTATGTACATGTGTCTATATATGTAAGTGTGTGTGTATCTCTCTATGTACAAATACACACACACATATATATATACACACAGTCATCCCTGGGTATCCATAGGGGACTGACTCCAGGATCCTCTTGGATACTAAAATTTACGATGCTCAATCAATCAAGTCTCTGACATAAAATGGTGGAGTACTTGCAGATAACCTAAGTATATACTCTCATATACTTTGAGTCATCTCTAGATCACTTGTAATACCTAATACAATGTAAGTGTTGTATAAGTAGTTGGTATATAGTTCAGGGAATAGTGACAAGAAGAGAAGTCTGTCCATGTTTTTTCCCAAATATTTTTGATCCACAGGTAGTTGACATTAGATATGGAACCATGGGGGTATGAATGGCTGATGGTACATTTACACAAACACACTTTTTTCAAAATACGTGAACATTCTTTACTGAGCATTTTTAACAACGGTATATTTTCCATTATGCCATAAATTAGTAAATCCAAACCCAAAACTTCCAAATATCATTCAAAAAGACTCCACAGATTTCTGCGTACTTATGCAATGCTCAATCATAAGTTTGTATTCACACCCAGGTACTTACGTTCCATGAAATATGGCCCAGGCTCAATTCTCCATACAATCTGCCCTTTTTGTGTTCCAGTCACACCCCTATTTTTAGAATCCCAGAAGTTAGCTGGAGAATTCTCATCTGGAAAAAACAAGCAGACAATTTTCAGCTGAGTTATAATCTACCTTTCCTTAGTTTATAGACTAATACAAGTTATGCAAGTTATACATGGAAAATGGAAAAAAGATAAAGGTGAAAATAAAAATGAGCATCCCCTTTTTTTTTTGACACAGGTCTCACTGTCATCCAGACCTAAATGAGTTCACTGCAGCCTCAAACTCTCCACCCAGACTAGGGTGGACAGAGTAGAGCAAGCGCCATACTAAGCAGGGCAGAAGGGAGAAGTGGCCCCAGGCCAAGAGAACAGGCCAAGAAGAAAACCTTGCTGCGTCTGAGCATGAGAGAAGTGGTCAAGGCAGGGCAGCAGACACTTATGTCTGTGGTGATCTCAGAACCAGCGGGGACTTCTGTCTGCAGCATCCATGGGGTCAGTGAGGACTTCTGTCTACAGCATTCTTGGGGTCAGCGGGGACTTCCGTCTGCAGCATCCTTGCAGTCAGAAGGGACTTCAGTCTGTGGCAACCTTGGGGCCAGAGGAGTCTTCTGTCTGCAGTGTCCTTGGAGTCAGCAGTGTCTTCTGTCTGTGGCATTCTTGGGGTCAGAGGGGACTTCTGTCTGCAGTGTCCTTGGAGTCAGCGGGGTCTTCTGTTTGCAGCATCTTTGCAGTCAGAGGGGACTTCTGTCTGTGGCGTCCTTGGGGCCGGTGGGGTCCTCTGTCTGTGGTGTTCTTGGAACGGGTGGGGTCTTCTGTCTGCAGCATTCTTGGGGTCAGAGGGTACTTCTGTCTGCGGTGTCCCTGGGGTCAGCGGGGTCTTCCATCTGCAGCATTCTTGGGGTCAGAGGGTACTTCTGCCTGCAGTGTCCTTGAGGTCAGCAGGAACTTCTGTCTGTGGCATCCTTGCAGTCAGAGGGTACTTCTGCCTGTGGTGTCCTTGGGGTCAGCGAAGACTTGTGTCTGCATCCTTGTGGTGTCTGCATCCTTGCAGTCAGAGGGTACTTCTGTCTGCAGCATCCTTGGGGTCAGCGAGGACTTGTATCTGCAGTATCCTTGTGGTCAGCGAAGACTTCTGTCTGTGGCATCCTTGGAGTCAGCGGGGTCTTCTGTCTGCAGCATTCTTGGGGTCAGAGGGTACTTCTGTCTGCAGTGTCCTGGGGTCGGTGGATACTTCTGTGTGCAGTGCCCTGGAGGCGAGTGGGGTCTTCTGTCTCCAGTTACCTTGGGGTCAGCAGGGTCTTCTGTCTGCAGCATTCTTGGGATCAGTGGGGACTTGTGTCTGCAGAACCCTTGGGGTCAGTGGGGACTTCTGTCTGCAGCATCCTTGAGGTCAGCGAGGACTTGTGTCTGCAGTATCCTTGTGGTCAGCGAAGACTTCTGTCTGTGGCATCCTTGGAGTCAGCGGGGTCTTCTGTCTGCAGCATTCTTGGGATCAGTGGGGACTTGTGTCTGCAGAACCCTTGGGGTCAGTGGGGACTTCTGTCTGCAGCATCCTTGAGGTCAGCGAGGACTTGTGTCTGCAGTATCCTTGTGGTCAGCGAAGACTTCTGTCTGTGGCATCCTTGGAGTCAGTGGGGTCTTCTGTCTGCAGAATCCTCGGGGATCAGAAGGGACTTCTGTCTGTAGTATCACTGGGGTCAGCGAGTGTATCTATCTGTGGTGTCACCGGGCCAAAAGAACACCGCAGCCTGCCTCGTCGCCAGGGCCTGCATCATCACGATGTTATATATCCTCGCTCATCTCAGAGGCAGGAAATGAGAGAAAAGTTTCTTCCCAGATTCTTGACCAAGAACAAGCCCTGGGGTAAGTGTTCAGCGCAGTCCCCAGCTCATGTGGGTAGAATGTACAAAGTATTTCCAGCTTGGTGTTCCCCATTGATCTATGGGTCACAGAGAAAACTCCATTTGGTTAAATTGTGAGATTTGGAAAAATGAAGGTAGGCCCTCAAAGCCAAATGTACCGTGAGTCTCTGTTGGGACTGGGAGGAGCTGACCATGTCACCATGGCCTGCCTAGTCACTGTGACCTGGCTTGTCACCGTGGCCTGCCTTACTCCTATCGTCAACCTTGTCACTGTGACCTGCCCTGTCACCGTGGTGACTTGTGCTGCCTCCCCCTCATTTCCTGCCCCTGAGATGAGCAAGGACGCAGTATTCCCACACTGGGTGAGTGTAACTGGCTATGGAAGTGGCAACACCAGTGACCTGCTGGGAACGAGAGATGCCCACACTAGTGCTCCACATAAGCTCCATTCCAGGCAACACATGACAGGTCTGTTCTCATGAAGTAAGATGAGTCCAGTGCCACAGCTGGAGACCAGTCAGTCGCCCGAGGGGAGGGAAGACGCCACTACTCCCCGTGGCACATCCTTGTGAGCAGGAGAGACCTACCTGGTTCACAGTCTGGTTATTTCAGATTGAGGTTTTCCTTGATGAGATTACAGCTCTGATAATTCATTCACCTGGACACATGCAAACACTTCTGTCACCAAGCAGCAGCTACCCTTAAGTGCAGACATAAAGTCCCTAGAAGTGAACAAGCTTAGGGTCACAGAGCTCAAGTTATTGCCAAATGCCCAGCACATCCTCCACCCCAGCACTGCATCCCAGCGAGCCAAGTCAAGCCTAGGCAGCCTGGGTGGCCAGGCAGCGCCAGGAATGCCTCATTCCTTTCCTTTCTTCCAAGAAGACACTTTGACTTGGTCCTTCAGGCTAGATTTTATTTTCTTTAGGTAGGTTCACACCTTTGTTTAGGCAGCAGTCAATTTTAGTCTAGCCTGAGAATACATATAGTGACAGCATTTCTCTGCTCAGATATATTTTTCATGGGTTTTTGAGGACAGAATATTTTCCTAGGTTGTATGAACTGTTCTTCTTCACTCGTTTAGTAGGAACAACTGGGGGTCTCGGGCAAAGTCTGACAAAAGCAGATTCATCACTTCTGCACAGTAGCCCACACATCAACACTGTCACCTCCTCTTCGAGCTGATGACTCTCTACCACAATGAACATCCTACTTTACCAGCACAGTAAACCTCCTGAGGCTTCTGTAAAATGCTAATTCCTGTGCTGTTTTTCCAGAGGACTGCATTCAGTAGGTTTCAGCCTGGGACCAAGAATCTGAATTTTAGCAAGCACAACAGCAGGTAATTCTGATACTAGTACTCCAAGGCCACACTCTGAAAAAGTCTGCTCCATGGTTACTTCCAGGGAAGCAGAGCAATCTCAGCAATGCCATGGCCCACGCACATCTCTTTGACTGCTGTTTCTCTTGTTTTTTTCTTTCTTGTTCATTAATTAACCAATTCATTCATTCATTTATTCACTTAACAGGCACTAATTGACAGCCTACTATAAAGACCAGAGGCAGCCATTTCCTGCCACAGGAGTTGATGCAGCAGGAGGAGATCAGCACATAGTCACAGCACAATGCAAAGACACATGCAAAGTGCCGAGCTGGTGTGGGGTATCTCATCAGAGAAGGAATGAGGACTGTGCCCAGCAACCACATGTGACTAACTTGGCTCTGGCTCAGTTGGGTCTAAAGTGTCTTTGGGAGTCCCCTGTGGAGATCTTCTTAGGGAGAGCTGCAGACCTGAGCCAGTCACTAGGGCCTCCCTTCCATTCCCTAGACCTTCCAGGGCTCATATTTTCAGCTCTCAGAATGGTCATCAGCAGCAACATACACATGACTATAAATTGGGGACAAAAAATACCAAACTCTATAAAATATTTTAAGATAGTACATTCTGGCTAATATGAGTGATCAGGTCTGGAACACAGCTTTGAGAGTATGTGTCTGGGGTGACCGAATTACAATTTGGTAATACACATTTTAGGGCAGCAGAAAATACAAAAACCATGAATCAATACATGTGAAATTTTCATTGGTTTGGCCCAGGAAGGTGGGGCATTTCCAAGCAGGGACCTCTAGGTTATAGGTGGATTTAAGGATTTCTTGACTGATAAATTGTAGTTTGTATCTAAGGAATTTCAGAAATCAATAGTGGACAAGGTGCCCAGAGTCTGGGAGTCCCCAAAAGATGGCTTTTCAGGGCCATAAAATATTTTGACTTCTTTCATTTTTCTATTCTATAATGTTATGTCAGAGTCAAGTTGGAAAACAAATTTCAGTATATAAGGGAATTGGGTAATAAAACCACATCTGGTGAGTCCTTATCAGGAGTGACTCTCCAAGCCTCTTAGGAATTTGGATAAAAAAAAAAAAGTCAACATTTTAGTCCTCAAGTTAAAGCTGAATTCAGTGGTCAGAGTCACTGCTGCTGCTTGAGCCCCAGCACATTATCCTATTCTTCCTCGGAAAAACTGAATTAATTATATGAACTTACAATGCCTCTATAAAGAATAAGCTTTTATAAAACTAAAATAATTTTTTTAATGCCACAAAAGTTTTTAAAAAGTAAACATTAATAAGTTTACACTTTTTTGAAGCTCTTCCTTTCATACATATCACACAAAGATGGGTGTGAAAATTATTTTTAAAGCTCAATTTTTTTCCTGTAGATTCTTGGGTTTCAAGAAAATGTCCCGTGAATAGGCTTTTAAGATAATAAGAGAATATACAGGAGACAAGACCAGACACAGTCAAACACGTTTTGGATTTGGAAACATTTCATGTCTATATTAATATCTCCAAAAACTCCACACAGAACTAGAGATAAAATAGAAACCAAGAAAGTATCCTAGACTCTTACCCTCCTCTTAATGAAACTCAGGGAAGTTGAAAAGAGAGAAATTTGGTGAGAAGATGTCACGTGACAGACTGTGCTTAGAGAGGAGAAACATGCTTACATGTTTATTTTATCTTGTGCTAAAGTGACTCCATTTTCTATGTTTTCTTGAAAAAAAATACTGGCATAAACATCCACATTGATCTGCAATTACCTTTTGGATATAGATTGACAATAACTGTATCCTGAGACTGGGTCCTAAGGGGCCTGCCCTTGCTCTGTGTACACTCGGGAATCAGATGTTCTGCCTGGGATTTGGGATTTGGAGAGCAACACTAGCTGCCATTTGAGTCAAAATAATCACTGGAGACTGGGCAAAGAACATACCTCCAGAGGGAATGCTCAGTTGCCGAAATGATACAAACTCATCAGCATGTGCTGAGCAAGGGACGAGTCTCATGGACTGCTTATAGGAAACTGACAACACTGTGACACCCGCCTACACTGCAGGAGGCTGAGCCTTCACTACTTTCTTTTCTTTTTTTTTTTGTTTTTTGAGTTGGAGTCTCACTCTGTCGCCCAGACTGGAGTGCGGTGGCCGCTCCCGGCCACCACA